GGCCCGGGCCGCACCAGGATGCCCGGCCAGCCCCCCGCCGCAGAGAAACCACACCCATGACCACCCCACCACACCGCCAGCGACCAAATGGACCCCCCCAGCCGTCCAACCCCGGAACCCAGCAGCCACCCCGGCCAGGGGGCCACCCACAGGAACCAAGAGCCACACCTCAGGAGACCAAGCAGCACCAAAAAAAAAAACAACAAACAAACAAAAAAAAAGCTTTACAACTATTTGTTTGACTTTTTACTGTTTTTTTAACCTTACTCTGAGTTTAAGAGGTGCAGTAAACAGGGATGTTTCTTCTTTCTGCAGGCTGCTGGGCTGAGAGGACAGAGGTGCACAAAGCGGCGTCTCTCGGCCGGGCCTCCGACCTGCAGCGCCTGATCCTGAACGGCGCGTCGGTCAACATGGTGGCTGTGGACTCCATCACCCCACTACACGAGGCCTGCCTCGGAGGACAGGCCCAGTGTGTCAGGCTGCTGCTGGACGCTGGTGCTCAGGTGGGGCAGGGACATCTGAAATCTGGACCCATGTTCCAGAAAATTCCTAATATCATCTTTATTTTATAAAAGAAACTACAAGTTCGGATTTGGAACAAATTAATCTAGTAATTGTATTAAATGGTCAGTCTTAAAAATCTAAACAAGGGCCATACAGGAATAAAAGAAGTAACATTTGAACAAATAAAGGAATAAGAAAAGACAAAATAAATAGAATTTACAAGTAAGATAAAATAAAAAAACAAAAAAAGAGAAGCCTGATCCTCGCTGCTTCTGATTGGCTTAAAAATGGGGGATCATGTGATTCACAAATCAAGAGAAAAGGTGATTGGTTAAAAAGAGCCAGCAACACATCCTCTGCGCTCTTATGGGTTAGGAATGTATTGGATTAGGAATGGGATGTCACTTAAGCTCATATGTGAGTCAAGGCAGGTGAGCGAATACTTTCAGGGGCGGAGTCAGTGAGTGAGTCAGAGGCAGCTGAGAAAAGCAGTCAGTAGTCCTGTTTCCGTCTTATGCGCATTTTGAAATATCACATTAGAAAAGCTAGATGGAAACATCAAAATTCACAAAAACTCCCTCAATTTCGCAAAAAAAGTGAATCTGCTCGCTTGAATTTGGATTTTCCGAAAAATAGTTAATGCGCAAAAGGAGAGATGGAAACACATTTTCCGAATAAGTTCTGATGTAGCAAACGTTTTGATCAGCTGTACCCGCTGTCCAATGGACCCTTTCTTTCCTATCTTTCCCTGCTGTTGTCGTCTTCTCAGGTATTCCCGTAACGTGAAGAGAATTGCATTTTTTTTCTCCATCTCGAGACAGCATGTAACATCACCAATACTAGTTGATGTGACAGAATAATTACAACTGTTCAGACAGTAGCAACACGTTCCTGATAACTTCTCTCCATTGTCCTGAGATGTGTATCCTTGTTTAATACAGTATCCTTGTTTTATACTTACTTCCTGTTTAATACAGCCATGTGTAATGCAGAGTTGTGAAGTAACTAAGTACAAATACTTCTTTACTGTTAGCCTGGCCCTCGCCTTCCTACGCAGCTCCGCTCAATTCTAGTTTTCCTTCACTGCTCCGTCTGGGACTTCTCCCATTGAGATGGATTTCGCTGGCAGATTTTTAGCCAGGCCAATCAGAGAAAAGTACGTCAATTTTCTGCGCAGTGTCTGCTTGTAGTTTATTTCACCTGGGCCAATCAGAGAACAGAAGGAGGAGCTTTGAATGACATCGATTTTCTGCGCAGTGTCTGCTAGTTATTTTAGCATACGGCAGTGGAGGAAGTAAAAGAAGCCAGTCCGTGTTGATAAGGCTTCTAAATTAAATTAAATGGAACTCTCTGTGCATTGTTGCCCAAATCAAATTCTGGAAGTGGTCATTCATCTAGATCTTTTACAAAAGGACAACTGATATTAACAAACTTTTAAAAACTGTTACGGCCAGAGGTCTTTCTTCTATGTTTATCCTAAAGCATGGAATGACATTCCTCAAAACATAAAGTCCATTTCAAAACYACAGCCCTTTAAGAAGAATCTTGTCTGCCATCTGCTGGACACTTTTTGTTGTGCTCATATTTAGAYGTCCTATTTTGCAAATGCTGCCTTYYTGAAATTTGGTATGCTTGTTTGTCTTTGTGTCTATGGTGTATAATGATGTGATTGTGATGCTGTATTTCTGAGTGTTTTATGTGCTGCAGAACAGGAACCTGCTGTAAAACAGCAATTTTGCTGAGTCAGGCTTGATTTTTAGTAATCTTTTCCTGTTGAATCAATAAATCAAATCAAATCAAATCAAATTTGTCTGACAAAGCAGCAGCTCTCATTTACAGTTGTCTCGTTTGGCTCGATATTTCTCCTCTCAGTAGGGTTGTTTACAGCACACGCGGTTTCTGGTTAGCTTCTCAGCTTAGCCTCCGTCACAGCGACATACGTCGCAGCCAACTGATCCAATCATTTTAAACTTCAGCAGAGGCCACGCCTCCTGCAAGAAATCTATTCTCTATGTATCAAGTCCAGACCCTAGTACAAAGCAACGTGAAGGACAGGGTCTGGTTTAAACCAGGCTACTTTACTGTACTTAAGTAGAATTTTTAGATATCTGTACTTTACTTGAGTAATTATTTTCCAGCCTACCTTTTACTTCTTCTTCTTACATTTTCACACAATTATCTGTACTTTCTACTCCTCACACATTTTTTTAAAGGCAAGAAGTAGAAAGTTGTTACTTTTATTTCATTTTTGATTGTTTTCATTCCAGCTTGTTTTTGTAAAAAAATAACTACTATTCATGTTGGCTTAATAATTAAATATAAAAGGACTGTATTTTTTAAAACTAGAGGAGGAATTTGTATTTCATGAATTATATTATTGTATTTGGCCGCAGCCCTCAGATAGATTTTAATTTTGGAGAAAAGGTTTGGGCAGCCTTGATATGATACGAAACAGACTAGTGCATCCTAATATTAACATCAATTAATTATTTTAATACAACAGTAATTTCTGCATTGTTTTGGGGAGGTCACCTCCTAGTAAATGTCATTATGTAAAATCGAACTGCTTTTTTTAAATCAATACTTTCACTTTTAATACTTAAGTACAAAAACTAGCAGATACTTTAAGACTTATGCAAGTAATATTCCTAAAGGAGACTTTAACTTTTACCAAAGTAATTTTCGGGTAAGATACTTGTACTTTTACTCAAGTATCACTTTGTGGTACTTTATACAACACTGGTGTAGCCAGTAGATGGAAACACACCTGATTCTCATTTTCTTTTTTTTTTCCAACATTTTAAAAAGTTGCTCAAATTGGATGGAAGCATGGCTAGTGGCTATGGATAAAGAGAAAAGATCCCTGCTGCACCCCAGTGAAAAGTTGATTTATGGAGCACTGCAAGGACTGATCACACTTTGCAGGGCAAAAAGAAAAAAATTGTATAGGTCTTCTGGACGGGTTCTTCTCTAACGAAACGTTTCATCTCTTCTCCAAGAGACTTCTTCAGTCTGAGAGTTTCAGGCAAAATTCAGGCTTTTAAGCACTGCCTCCATGTGACTGATACTCACATCACATGGCTATCGTTGACAMCTAATTAACACYTATTGTTAACAGGGGGTGGAGTGATACTGGCAATGGCTGCGCTGTAGGACGGGACAACTGAAAACGGATGCCTCCACCTCTGTTTAATGATGGACGGTCTTTCTTCACAAAAATGGCTTCTTTTACTCCTCTCTCAAAGCAGCCACTGTTCAAAAGAATGTCCCAACACAGACGAGCTACATCTAATGGCCAGAACTCTGCAGTTTTCACTCATTTACAGGCCAGCGGTCACTCTTTCAGAGATGAGGATGTTCTCATTCTTGATAGRGAGGAACGTTGGTTTGAGAGAGGAGTAAAAGAAGCCATTTTTGTGAAGAAAGACCGTCCATCATTAAACAGAGGTGGAGGCCTCCGTTTTCAGTTGTCCCCCTCCTACAGCGCAGCCATTGCCAGTATCACTCCACCCCCTGTTAAAAATAAGTGTTAATTAGGTGTCAACAATAGCCATGTGATGTGAGTATCAGTCACATGGAGGCAGGGCTTAAAAGCCTGAATTTTGCCTGAAACTCTCAGACTGAAGAAGTCTCTTGGAGGAGAGAGACGAAACTTTTCATTAGAGAAGAACCCGTCCAGAAGACCTACACAATTTTTTTTCTTTTTGATTTTTTACCTGGATTACTGAGATGCATCAAGACACTTTGCAGGGCCTTCCCCAGAAGAGGGTGTCTAGTAGTAAATGGCCGAAACACCCAATGACCCTAAGGTATAACCCTGAAGATGTTCCTATAAATCAACTTTTTGTTGCCAGGTTTAGCCAGGGTATGAGATTTCACACAGTTTAGGTTTGGATGTTAAAATGTTTCTGCTTGGTGACAGGTGGACGCTCGGAACGTGGACGGGAGCACCCCGCTGTGTGACGCCTGCTCAGCTGGGAGTTTAGAGTGTGTGAAGCTCTTGTTGGAGCACGGAGCTAAGGCCAATCCTGCCCTCACCTCCCGCACTGCCTCGCCCCTACACGAGGCATGCATGGGAGGTGAGCTGCGTGGGTATTTTTAATGCTGTTGTTGCATTTTTCATCACACAGACGTGTTTTACGCAGCGGTTGTGTTTTCAGGCAGCTCAGACTGTGTGGAGCTGCTCGTGGCCATGGGAGCTTGTCTCGAGGCGTACGACCTTTACTACGGGACCCCACTGCATGTGGCCTGTGTTCACAAGCACACAGACTGTGTTAAAGTACTCCTCAATGCAGGTGAGGGCCACCACAAAACACCAGCCGGATTTCAACTGTGCTGTATAACCTATCTGAAGAAACTGAAACTCAATTGTTGAAAAAAAGCAAACAGTAGCTTCTTCTCTGTTTTCTGCTGCTTATCCTTAATCGGGCCGCAGARGCAACAGGTTCAGGAGAGAAACCCTGACATCCCTCACCCCAGTAACACTTTCCAGCTCCTTCTAGGGGATGCTGAAGCGCTCCCGAGCAAGAGAGGACGGTTATGGTTATGGTATATGGGGATGAGTAAAACCCATGTGAGCAGGGGCCTCATAAGTGGGCCCATTACTCTCCCCAAAGAGACACTAAGCTTTTAATCAAACCTTTGTGTCCCTTGGAAGAAGRACACCAGGTTAGAAACAATCAGTGTTCTAAGCTTCTCAGGATCTATAAAAGGTTCTCCAAAAATTCTTTTCCTTTGACTACTCAGGTCAATGCATTGGCCCAAGTAGTGCAAAGAGGTCTCTAATTCAATGCCACAGGCATCACAAAGACCATTTTCATGGAGTCCCATCACCATTTTATGGCGATTGAGCAAGTTGTGCCCAGTTAGGACTCCAACCAGAGCACTTAAATTTTCTTTGTCAGGGCATGAAGGACTTTTCCAAACCTAGGATTTGAGCCATTTATCAGTTCCTGTGCMTGTCTGTAATCCGTCAGCTCCCTCCAACAGATTGAGTGTTGACGTCTGATCCAGGCCTGTAGGGCAGTCCTGCAGATTGTTACTGAAATGCCTAAAGGAGGCTCTGGTCCTTTGAAGTGGGCTTGACTGCCAGCTCTTACAAGGTAGTAGCAAGAGAGGATACATAATCTCTCCAGTGAATCCTGAGTGACTCACCTCTGACTCAGAGAGGTCATTTTACCTTTATCCTTTCAAGAAACATGTCCTCAGACTAAAGCCTGAACGTACTTGTTCCGAAGCCAATCAGTGCAGTCAAGTGGTTGTTCACCGTTCGTTTTTGCACACACCTTTCATAGCCACGGAGACACACCATGCCAAGCTCCTGGGAACCCCTCCCGCTGCAGCGTACGTCACTGTATGGAGTTCCTTCACGCTGGAGTCTACAATGCGGGAAAAAAAGTCAGGGACCCATCACCAGATGTTTTTTATCCACAAATCTGTCCCGGTTAAAACTCCACAGTTTTTATC